TTGACCAGGAAAGTGATTTCACTGTCATGCCTGGCCTAAATGAGACCTTCCATCCAAACATGCCAAGAGCAGGCTGTCCTCAACACACAGAACAGATGGCCATGAGGAAAATTTAGGATGGAACATGCAAGCTCTCCAGCACCAAGAAGTCCAGTAATTGTCTGCACCCCTGCACTGACTGTTCTTGGACCCTCAATCATAAACATCCCACTCCAGACTCCTTGGGATTATAGCCCCTTCTGAGACTCTGCAAGAACTTAGTTTCTCACCCAGCTAGCTCCTGAAATCATTCAGAATCTCAGCCCTGTCTGCATCCAGACAGAATACATCCAGCCTTTTCTCACACAGAGCCTGTGTCCTGGCGGTCTCTCATTTGCTGTTTGTAACATTCCCTACTTGAGTTTCCCTAGTTGACTTGTATGGTTTCTACATTATTATTGGTGTTATTTATTTTATTGGAAGTATTTTTTAATGTGCTCAGACAATTTTCTTATTTACCCATATTTACTTGGTTGTTTCTAACACACCATCACAAGCATTTGATAGTTTTGTGTTTCCTCTGCTTTCTGTCATTTCCGACTTAGGCTAAGAATATGCTTTCCCCCCTCTATTTTGGACGTACAAATTCCTTTTGCCAATTTTTTTTTTTGTCAGTGCTAGGGATTAAACCCAGCACCTTCACACTGAACTACAACCCCAGCCCCTTTTTATTTTTTATTTTGAGACAGGATCTTGCTAAATTGCCTAGGCTGAGCTTGAACTTGCAATTTTCCTGTCTCAGCCTCCCAGAGTGCTGATATTAAAGATGTGCCCCACCAGTCAGCTGAAATACCTCCTTCAAGTCTCTTGATATATGTGCTTTTCTCTTCAAGAGCTTCCCTTTTCCTCATTTTATTGTCCAACTGTCCTGTTTCAATTGACCCTCATTTACTTTGGCTTTGGGTTCCCCACTTTACATCACTGTAGTCCTACTCTTTTCCCATGGAAGCTGCAGAGAAAGCTAATGTCATGCAGAAAACAAACTGGAATTTCTTGTTGATTATGGGCTGCCTGAATTTTTCACATTTCTTTCCAGAAGCAATGCGGGGAGCAGCTGTGATCTGCTAGCCATGGGCAGGTGTCCTAGAACACAGGCCATCTTGCCTGGTGGAGATGGCAAGAGGACGGGCTCTTAGCTGGCTCTTCACTGCTGACCATCTTCCACAGACACTGCACTTGCATTGAGCTCAGCCTTCACGACAGCCCTGCCACACGGTTTTCTGCCTCTATCCATGGTAAAGACATTGCAACTTCAAGAAAGAGAATAACTTCCCTAGGTCACAGAGCACAACGAGGATTCAGACTCCAACCTTTCTTGCTCAACAGGTACACCCATACAACGGAGCATCGTCTTTAGATGCTGAGCTGGATTTAAGAGGCAGCTTAAAACTTCCCTTCATATGCTTCCTTTACCTTCCTTTAATTTTAAAAATAACTAATGAATCAGCCACCTTTGAATGTACTCATACAGTAAGGCTCACTGTCCTGTAAATATATTAGGTACATTGCTTTTACAAACACTCCTTATCAAAAGCACCATTTCTCTGGTTCACATGGTGGCTGTGTAGATCCCAGCAACTACATAAAACCAACAATCAAGAAGTGTTAATAAAACAGGTGCTGGAGGTGTCGCTCAGTGGTACAGAACTTGCCTAACAAGCCTGAGGTCCTCGGTTCAATTCCCAGCACCACAAAAAAGAATAAGAAGACTGAAAAGAAACAAACGTTGATGAAAGCAGTGTCAATTCAAGAATGTGCTGACCATATTCCCATAGTCTTCTCTTCTCTCCCCTTTTCTGTTCATAAAGGTTGGCTTTTGAAACTGCCAAGTTTGTAGTGAGTCCATTCCCGTTTGTTTCCTCTCTCTAACAGCTTCAGCGGCATGGCTTTCCCTCTTGGGGGCCTGGATAAGCCCATGACAAGGTCACGGACTGGAAAGGTGTGCTTTGACCTTCAGCACTATCAAGGTCACGGCATCTCCAAATGACACAAAGGACGATGTGTTTATGTCTGTTCCCTGCAGAGACCTTGAGTCTTGAACGTAAATTCAGCTTTTTCATTAATAAAAAATAGTAGATAATTTAAAAGACACAAAAGTATACACTCGCACCCCAGGCACCTGGTTGCCCACACATAGGTTGTAACTGTCCCCAGTTTCCCATAGCTCGTAGATCCCTGGCGGTGCTTGCTCAAGTCAAACAACAGAGGTCCCTGAATAGCTGGCTTTTCCCTGTGACTTTGAGCTGCTTAAAGAAAACTGATCTCTCCGTTGGGTGAGCGTGAATTCTATTTCACCTTCAATCTCTACTTGAGGGGCACCTTTTCTGGGAGCCTTTCCTGCTCTGCAAAACCTGGCCCAGGTGACTCTCAGACGCAGCCCTGGGCCCTCAGTCTTCCATCACACTCTTCACGCAGAGCAGAAATCACCTTCCTGTTGGGCAGTGACCTCCGGGCCTGGACCAGTACAGTGACTGCCACACAGGAAAATTCTGCTGAATTCATGTATTTTCTGACAACCTACATATATTCCAAATCATGCACTAACTCCTGGGAATGCAATGGGAAATAAGGCATTGTCTCTGGCCTCGTCCTTCTGGCATCTTTACAGAGCTTCACAGAGCTGTAAGAATCACTTCCGTCAATTCTGCTCTTAACGTAGGTTCACTTGATGATGCAATCAGTATTCCTTGTTTGTGTGACCTATTCTTTCTCTTGCTATTGCTGAGCATCTTCGGTCTCCATTTATTACAAAGTGTGGCCCCAGGTTATCCCATTAGTCTGTGTGTGCCAACGGGTCCAAGACTGATGATTTCACTCCACCTTGCAATTTTTTTCTTTCTCCAAAGCAGTATGTGATTGACTGTCCAGCACCAACAACTGAGAACACTGGCAAGAAATTAACAGGGAAAAGCACATGCTCTGCTTTTAAAACTTCATTCAAAAAAAACCAACAACAACAAAAAACTTCATTCAAAAACTTACACGCAGGGGCCAGGGGTTTAGCTCAGTGATTCCAGTGCCTGCCTCGCAAGCACAAGGTCCTGAGTTCGATCCCTGGTACCCCCCCCCAAAAAAAACTTACACGCAGCTTTCCATGGCACATAATACCAGACTCCCAAAAGGAGAGCTTCATTTAGATTGTGGTTTCAGAGGGTCCATGGCTGGCTGGCTCCAAGGCTGGAATGGCATGGTGGGAGGTTGTAGCACAGGAAAGCTGCTCAACCTACAGGAATCAGATGGAAAGGAAGAAGCTAGGTACAAGAACACACCCTTCGGGTCACATCCGTGACCCACCAGTGGGCCTCCAACCAGGCCCACTCCTCCGGGTAAATTCTGCTCTGAGCTCAGCAATGGAGAAATCCACCGATAGGCCAGCACTCCTGTGATCCAACTGTAGGGACAGAGGTCTGTAGACAAGCAAACAAAATAGGGGCCTCCTTAGGTCTTCTAGATCATCCTGACTAGCAGGAGTTAAAAGCAGACTTTACTAGAGAGAGTGCCCTGGGAAGCAAGTCAAAGACGGGTAGAAAAACAAAAACAGATAAAGAAAGGCACCAAATGGCCTTGGGACCTGCACCAAGAGATCAGAAAAAGAGCTGACGGGATAGGACACAGAAAGCCAGGTGCACAAACGATAAACGGCCCCACCTCCAACAAAATACAGGGGAAGTAAATGGAAACCAAGTCTTTGTAAATAGAGAGGGATGGAGGGGGTGAAGGGAGGGCAGGGGAAGGGGGGAAAAATAAGAACCAAGATATATTATGTAAAGGTGCAAATCTCCAAAGATGAATGTCATTATATTGTATACCTAAAATGTACTCAAAAAATTAATTAAAAACTACAGGGGCAGCAAGGCGGGGTGCTAACTTTCAAGCGGTGTACACTCATACCTGTGCACTAACATATACACTTACATACGTGTGGATTCGCTCTGGAGTCACCGTTCTGTTCACTCTAGGGTCGTTAGGGAGTACAGCAGATAGCCACACGTCCCCTTACTAACCCTAAGCTAACAGGAATAAGGTACCCCCTTGCCAACCAGCGGCCCACCCCAAAGATAAGGCCTTAAAAGGCAGGTCAAGGACAAGTAGACAGATAGACAGAAGCTGCACACAGACCCCTGAAGAAATGATGTTAGGCAGAGGTGCCCAGAAGCCAGTCCAGTTATGGCGAGCTCCAGGTGAAGGGAAAGGTCACTCGCCGCCGACAGAAACAGCTGCGGACACGGAGGCCCCGTCCGCCATCTTTCCGGAGCCCCTACTCTGACTTTCTCATCAGGGGAGCGATCTACCTTCTCCTTCTCCCCCCCTTTCCTTTACAAATAAAGCGTCTGCCTGTCATTAAACTTTGTCCCTCTAATTTATTACTGGGCTGAGTTAGGATCCCGGTGGGCAGCGGTGCTCGCCCCCAGATGGAGCACAGTCACTCGAGAGCCCCATCTCAGAGCACATGAGACTCGGGGATACTTTAGATCCAAACCCTAACGTGCAGCCGACAAATGCAGCGTCTCAGGGTGTACTCAAGGCGGGGGTTGGGCTTGGGGTGTCGCGCAGAGGAATAAAGGCTGAGAGGCCGCCGCACCCCAGCGGGTCCAGGCAGGCTTGGGAGGTGGGAAGGCTCTGGCTCCGCTCAGGCCCTCAGACCAGCTGACCCTCCCGAGGCCAGGCTCCGTGTGGCCCACAGGGAGCAGGACTTCCTGGGCACCGCGACATCTATCTGCCCTTTCTGTATAAAGTATTTTAAAAATGAAAGGCACCTTGTGCTCGCTTCGGCAGCACGTATACTAAAAATTAAAGGCATCTTGACCACTAAAATCCTGGTTAAATAAAAGGAAGCAGCTGCCTCTGAGCAACACACTTGGCAGATCACCGCGTCCTCAAGTCACAAACCGCGGGGGCTGGAGGTGACTCGGGGAGGGCTGCTCGGCAGGCTCAAGCCTCTGTTCCGGTTCCGGTTCCGGGGCGGGGCTAAAAAGACCACAGACTCTCAAGAATGGATCCAAAAAACCATCCAGTGCCTAAGTAGTAAGTGAAACGGTATTGGGCTTTTGTATTTTAAAAAGCTACAAATATTTCTGACATCGCTGGTATTTAAATATGACTGCCTATTTAATGCCATGGATTATTAGTTGCCTTAGGTGTGTTAATAGTTTTTTGGGGGGTTTTTTTGGTACCGGGGATCGAACTCGGGTTCTTGCGCTTGCGCAGCAGGCAGCGAAACCACTGAGCTAAATCCCCGGCCCGGTGTGTTAGTAGTTTTGAGGACATACGGAAGAACGTCTTTATTCACAGGAAATACATACTGAAGTATCATAGTTTTCCAAATCTTTGGGAAAAAGAGTATGTGGCTTTGGGCTGTGTGTGTGTGTGTGTGTGTGTGTGTGTGTGTGTGTGTGCACAAAGAGGTTGAAAGTAAAGCAAATAAAAAGACATTTTTAGAGAAAATGATCCCTGATTTTTTATTTATTATCATTTGAGAATTTTAAGAGTACATCAAAACCCTAGGATAAGCTGGGATGGCAGCACACACCTGTAACCCTAGCATTCTGGGAGTCTGAGGCAGAAGGGTGGAAAGTTTGAGTCCAGTCTGAGCAATTTAGCAACTTAACAAGACCCTGCCTCAAAATTCAAAAATAAAAAGAGGGCTGGGGATGCAGTTTGGTGTGAAGGCCCTGAATTCATTCCCTGATACGGGAACATAGAAATCCTATCGTATTGCTTACCATGTACAAAGCCCTGGTTCCAATCATTTATTAAAAGTATAGCTGAACAAGAAACATTCTTTCTACCTTTCCAGCTATGATTTTTGACCTTTAAACTGTAAACATTCTGTCCTACATGCACCATTTTAGGAAGAAATTCTCAAAACTTGAGTATATTAAACATTACATAACTCGAACCTACTTTGCATGAATTCTGATCAACATGCTGACTCCCTTCCCTTCCCTTGGGGACCCCTCCTGTTTCAGGGTTTAACTGGAAGCTGCCTGCCCTCCCTCCTTGGATTTTAATTTTTCGTATGTGTTTGTCTTTGCTTGTTCTCCCATATCCATGATCTAGGTGGAGTTCCTGGGTGGTCTCACTTACAATATGAGATGTGATTGAAAAATACAGTGTGTGTTGAAATTTTAAAAATTATTACAGTAAAAGACACACTGCCATCAATTCTCCTCGAAGGCTTCCTCCTCACTTCCAACACTCTTAGCCTGTCATTCTCGCCACTTTCTGAAGCAGTTCTGAAGTCCTCTCTCATGGGGTCTTGAGCTGCACTCTCCTGGCTGTCTCGATGTCCTGAATTGATTCACAGTGTTTACCCTTTGTGATCATTTTGACCTGAAGTCACACGGTACCAGATTATGTGGTGAATAAGGTAGCTGAGGACACCATAATGTTTTTAGCGGACTGCCTTCCATTGGATGGCACTCGGCAGCAGCATTCACTGCATTTTGTATCACATCTTGTAAATACTGCAGATAGCTAAGGTAGGCAGAGATCAATAAGCAGTTAGCTAGAAAGGGACCGGGCCCAAGATAGAGTCAGAACAGAGAGGAAGCAGCCAGGCCTGCGGCTGAGGGCTGAGGTGATAGATGGCAATGCTCCCCAGAGATAGACGACAGCTCAAAGCTGCTCTGCATCAAGCCAATGCCGTCTGGACAGTGAGTCGGAGTAATAAAACAAACACACAAAACACAACTCAGTGAACACACAGCGGACTGGAACTCTCACCCTCGCTCCCGCCCCTTCCGGAAATGCCTGTGTTCTCCTCTGTGCTGTGCACTGTTGCTTCCTATCTTGTTTTTCTGTTCGATCAACATGAGCAAGCGACTCCACCTGTAATCCTGCGGGTTGATCACAGTCTGACCCAAGGCCGCCTGTGAGGTGACTTCACTGCATTAAACCCCTAGGCCAGTGCTGGTGAACCTGTGGCACATGTGTTGCTTTTCTTTTGCTTTTAAAACAAAAGATGTTAATGTATGAGTTGGTTCCTAAACTAACCCTCAGTATTCAGGTTTGATTGCAGTGCTGGCCTTCTGTAATAAATAAATGGGTTTGGCTTGCAGTTTGGGCACCGTCTCCAAAGAGGTTCGTCAACACTGCTAGACCAAGCGCAGTGGCGACCCATGTTCAGGACCCCACTGGCCTCTTAGGAGCTTTCTCTCAATGAGCTTCCTACTTTTGACCTCCTTCGTCCTCATGTCCATCCTTCAGAGTTGTGAGATATGAACTCATCACATCTAACAGGCTGGCAGTTACTTCCCAGTAACATAAAGACACTCAGGAAATAGCCCTTCCAGAACTGCTTCAGAAAGTGGCAGGAAAAATGGGATGAGTGTGTTTGAAACGAGGGGGATTAAGGGCAGTGTTAACGTTTAAATTTAAACAGAGTGTACTTTTTGATCACCCCATCTACAGACAGGGCCGGGGTGTGGTTCATGGCCAGATGCCTGTCTGGCACAAGTGAGGTTCTGGCTTGGATCCAGGGCTGCAAAGATATATAAAAATATAGGTATATGTTTTCCCTTAAGCATTTCTGACAAAACAAGATAAAAATCGTCTGTGCTGCAGGCAGAAGCCATTCTCTGTCCCGGCTGTGACAATGGAGCCGGGGCTGGGGCCTGGCTGCTACAGTGCCCGCCCGGTGTGCAGGAGACCCCATTCCATCCCCAGCCCCACAAGAAGAGTAGGTAAACAGGTAAGAAGGGAGTCTCCCCGGAGACCACGTGCCGCCTCCACCCCCAGCCGGCCTCATCTGCGGGCCAACGTTCTGGGACAAGTGCTTGGCCTGGGCGCGCGCAAGCACACGCGCGCACACACGCACACTCCCCCAGTCCACACCCCTTGCTCCCCAGCCAGCTCCAGGCTCACCTGCCCCGTGACGATTTCTCTGCCTCACAGAGCCGCTGAACGAAAGCCCCTCTCCGTTATTACACGCGTGGCCTCTTCTTTCTTCTTTCACCTCTGGTCTATGGCGATCTGCCTCAGCTTCCTTTGTCTGCCCTCTGCCTGCCTGACGAGGAGGGACCCGTCTCCACTGAGCCCCGCTTCTCTCGCGCCCCTGCTTCTCTCCCCCTAGTCTCTTCCCCTGTCCAGCGGAGCACACTTGCCCTCTGCCTTTGCACTCACTCTGCTCTGTCCTCTGCCTCTCGCCGGCCTCCTCCTCCTCCTCCGGCTGATCCCGGTGAGTGCTGGAGAAGCCATCACCTCCGCCCGGCGGGAATGCCTGCTGCCCACCAGCTTAGGAGTCTCTGTCACCCTCACGTCCAGCCGGCCTGCACCACCTTCCCGGCCTGGGCTCCAGGGCTCCACACGTTCTTCCCGCCACACCCAGTGCCCGTCGCTCGGTGTTTTCCTTGTCATTACACTGAAACGCGTCTTTCATCAGCACTTCAGTTCTCATTTAAGACGTAAATGTCTTTGCTTGTTTCTTGTCCACTTGGTGGGGTGAAATTGCGGAATTAAACCTGAAGCTCCCATTTCTAGCCCCAGAGATTTTGGGAGGCACGTCAGGACTTCTCCAGAGGCTTAGTAGTGCACTTTTCCTGGGAACCTAAATTTCGGTGTATCTTTTTGGAACCCTGAATTCTCTTCACACAATTTCTGCCTTGAACTATTTTTCAGATGACAAATATCCTTTCTAGGCGGTGGGTGACTGGTTCTCTTCAAATCAACCACAATTTGTGGCAGTCCCTGTGGTTCAATGAGTTTCCTTTTTTTCTGAGGAAAATGAAAGTACCAGTGCTTCTCTGTACTTCCGGCACTGCTCAGTAACCTTCCCGTCTCCTCTGTCTCCCAGGCCATGTGGACACCCAACTGTTCTCTGCTCCCTCTTCCCTTCTGAGGCTGTTGCTAGCACTCCTTAGAAGAAAGCTGCTTCCTGCTGCTTCCTGTAAGCGCATCAGTCAGCCTCTCAATCGACAGGTATTTTCTTTCTCTCTCTCTCTTTCTTCTTTCTTTTTTTGGTGCTGGGGATCAAACTAAATCCTCTGCCCCTGAACAGGTATTTTCTAAGCAATTCAGGTGGAAACTCACCACAAATCTATACAATGACAAAGCACTGAGTCATGTTTTGGGGAGAACCCTGCCCTCTAATGGCAAAGTGTCACCCACCCATATAGGCCGTGGGCAGTCAGGGAGGAAAACTTAATTTACCCTCTTAAGGAAACGGGGGGGGGGGGGTCTTCCAAATTAAACCAGCAAAAGACAGTCACAGGGGAAAGGGCACTGATTTTTATTACTATTTTATGTGTAGGGGAATACATAGAAAAGAAGTAAAAATCAAAGAAGCAGGTAGTCTCAGGGTTAATACCATTTTAACAAAAGAAAGGAGATTTGGGCTTCAGGAATACATTCTAGGGGAGTGACTAGGAAATACACGGAGGAACTGATGCAAGATAAGGGTTATTTTAGTAAAGTCTGTTGCACGGACTCATCTTGGTGCCACCTCTCTCTCTCTCCTTGCTGGTGTGTGGTGGGGACAGCTTCAGCAAAAGTGTGTCCTTGCTTCTAGGCAGGCAGAGGGAGCGGAGGACTCTTCCTACATCTGCTCAGGGCCCAGCCCAGTGTACTCCTCAGCAACATGGCACCTCTCAGGGTGATGCGCTGCATTTGGGTCCCTTCCACAGCACCACGGGGAAACACAAGTGCCGCTAGTGTTTCCTACTGGCAGCTTACGTTGGGCAGTGCTTTCTAATTATCCCCACTTTTCTGCTGAGTAAACCGAGGCTTTGAGAGGTTCATTGCTCCTTCTCAAATCACCTCCAAATGACTCCATGTCCTGCAGTTCTTAAGTCTCACCGTTCCAGCCTCCCCAGCTCACTCTTGAGTTGCCAGTGCAATTCTGGTATCAAGTCAGGTCTGCTCCTTAGCTTCTAGTGGGTTCCCCTTGGTTTCTTCTCCCTGATTTCTTCTGCTACCCATGAAAGGAAGAATGAAAGAGAAGCAAGGAGAGGCCCAAAGGAATCACAGTGCTTGTAGCCAGTGACTGCCACCTGTGCCCACTGCTCTTGGGTCCTCAGGCTCCCCCAGACCTTCTCTGGGGACCTTCTCCTGTTCCTGGATCTCAGCCATAGCCCATTCCTGTGGCCCAGAGGTGCCCCCAGCTGAGGTTTCCGCTGACTCTAGTCCCACACATATGGCTCTTGTCCAGTATTCCAATGGGAAGTGAATGTGAGCACTTCCAGGAATATGCAGGCTAGGGACCTACAGAGTCACACATGTTCAGTGTAAGAATAACCTGAGGGCAGGGAGTATCTTGTCCCACTGGGACAGAGTGTGGCTGTGTGATGTTTGTACCAGACTGAGAATTTATACCTCAGCCGGCATCCCAGAGTAAACAAGAAACTAGCTCCTGCCTTCAGAGTTAGGCCCTTTCCACCACTGTAACCAAAAGAGTATTACTGTGATCCTTGAGAACACATCCTCAATGACATCGTGAGGGCCTAGGGAGAGCCAATGCATTTCAGGTCAAGACTGGCAGAGGTATTGATGAGATCAAGGCTGACAAGGGAAGAGGGCAAGAGAGCCCATGGTGGTGATGTCGATGTGCCTCAAACAGGAAACAAACAAGGAGCGGGGTATGGAGCTCAGGGGTAGAGTGATTGCCTAACATGCTCGAGGTCGTGGGTTCCATCCCCAGCACCACAAAATGCACACACACAGACCAAGCCATGGATTAAGTCCAGTCAGAGGCTTTCCTCCTCTGTTTTCTTTTGCCAGTGACACTTCCTGGTAATCAGATTCCATGATGTCATTTGAATGGAAGTGAGCTGGGGCAGCTCCATTACCTGACTAATGAGAGTCATCTTTGACCACAGTGATTGCTAGGTCCGTCCTATGAGTGCAACATTCTGCTGCAGTCAGGAGATGGGTAGGTAATGCCCTGAGGGGTTCAGCAAGACTGCTGTCCTGTTAATCTCCAGACAGGGAGTTATGAACTTAAAGTGCTTTCATTAACATGGAGGGCAGCAAAGAGAAAGTTACTGAGCTGTAACGAGGCATGTGGGCTAACATATATGCCTCAGGATGAATGCACTTTATTCACTGTGCTGAGGGCAAGCAGCCAGACAGAAGGTCCCATGTTGTCATGACATTTATGTGAAATGTTCAAAACAGGAGAACCAGGGGCTGCAGGGAGTGGGGCAGGCTACACGGGGAGAGGCTGCCTGGTCTGGGCTTCCCATCCCGTCGGGAGGTGAAAGTCATCTGCAGCTCGATAGAGTCAACAGGTGCACAACACTGAGAACTGCCGATGCCACTGAACAGTGCACTTGGAAGCTGTTAAACTTTTTGGCGATACTGGGGATGGATACAGCGTCTTCCACATGCTAGGCAAGTGCTCTACCACTGAACTACATCGCCAGCCCTCTTCTTAGTTTATTTTTATTTCATTTTGAAATAGGGTCTCACTAAGTTACCAAGACTGGCCTTGAATTGTGACCCTCCTGCCTCAGCCTCCCAAGTAGCTGGGATGACAGTTGTGCTACTTGTGTCTTCTACGAATTTAATCTCAATGTATACACGGACAAAGACAGAGACAGGCTGAAGGGGCAAAGCACACCCAGGCCCAGTCAGGCAGATCCACCTGGCCTGCAGTGTGGGCAGAGCTGCCCCGGTCCTCCCCCTACCTTATGGACAAGGGAAGAGGACCCCGAGCCCGCACACAGCCAGGGCACAGGTCCTCCGGCTTCCCCTGCAGTTAGACCCTTGCCTCAGCTTACCCCAAGAGTAAGTGCCACGGGCCTCGGATCCCTCTTCCACTGATGGCTCCTTCAGCGCTCGCTTCAAGCCAGACCACAGTTGCTTCACTGCAGATCGGTCTTGCTGAAGCTGCCTTTGCTCCCAAACCCAAGGCCTATCAAGATGGTCCCTCGGAGGCGCCCCGTTCTCATTTTCTTTTCCTCCCTAGTTTCTGTATTAGGGTCGTAACACGCCCAGGTGAGGCAGGATCTGAAGCAGGTGCCGTGTGAGTTAAAAGGGGCTATTTTGGTTTTGTTTTGACTTTAACCAAAAGACTAGATTAAAGAGCTATTTGGCAGACGTGTAAAGTTTCTACCATTGCCAAAATGCTAAATTGGATGGCTCGAAGCTCAGAGCAGGTGAGCAAGGAAGTTCAGGTCAAGGCCGTGGACATTAACTGAGGACCCAGTGTCGAGGCTGCTGTTGGACACAACGGTGGGGATGCCACGGGCCAACTGTCCCTGACAGTGTGGGCACAGGAAGGCTCGAGGCAGAGGAGAGCAAGTACCCAAACAGAGGTGGCCAGGGACAGAGGGCCTGGGCCTCGGGCTGCCTGGGCAGGGGCTGCTCTTGCTCAGGCGGACGAGGGGGACGCTCCTGGGGCAGTACGGGATGTGGGCTCTGGAAGAGGGAAGTTCAAGGACACGAGGAGGGGTCCTGCCCTCTCCAGTCTGGACAGGGAGGTTTGGAACAGGTGAACCACACAAGCAGGAGGCCTGGTGTTTTCCTCCCTCATCTGCAGCTTGTCTGTATTTTTTGGTACCCAGGCACGGTGCCACTGAGCTAAATCCCCGGCCCTCTCACCACCATTCTAGTCTGCTACCCAGCCTGTTCTCAACCCTGTGTCCCATCTGCCAGGCTCTGAAGCAGAGCAGTGCGCGCACACTTGGAGGCACTTTCCCGGCACAGACCTGGGACCAGGTATTTCCAGCAGGTGCACAGTTTGCACGGTCTCCCTGGGCCTCTTCGATCCTTATGCTTACGATATTTTTACAGAAGGCAAAGATTGCTGTCCAATAATTAAATCTCAGGTTTGAAATATGAAGACACTCAGAGAGTAGCATAAAATAATCCTGAACACAAGCAAAAAATTTAAAAAATTAGATAAACAGAACTTCATCCAAATTAAAGCCTTTTGCGCTCCCAAATGATACTGCTCAGAAAGTGCAAAGATAACCCACAGAAAGGGAAAAATATTTGCAAATCATCTATCTGATAAGGGTCTAGTGTATAGAAAATATAAAAGAACCTCACAACTCAACAGTAAGAAGACAAATAATGCAATTAAAAATCAAGCAGAGGACTTGAATGGACATTTCTCCAAAGAAGACACACAAATGGCTAATGGATACATGAAAGAAAGAGCAACATTGTTCGCCATCAGGAAAACACAAATCAAAGCCACAGTGAGATGCCACCTCAGCCCCTCAGACGGCTAGAACGAAAAAGACAGACCTCACCACGTTGGTGAGGACATGGAGAGTCAGAACCCTCATTTGTTGTTGGTGGGAATGGAAGATGGTGCAGCCACTCTGTTCGTCAGGTCTTCAAAAAAATTAAACACAGGTTTGCCACGTGACCCCAAATTCCAGTCTTAGTTACTCGGCCAAGAGAAACGAAAAGCACATCCACATGAAAACCTGTACAGGCAGGTTCCCAACAGCATCATTCACGAAAGACAAATAATAGAAACAACACAAAGCTCAGCTGATGGATAAACAAACTTATCCAGTCATAAGAAGGGATAAAACACGCAGTCATGCTTCAGTGTGGAGGAACCTTGAAAACATTCTGCTCAGGGGAGGAAACAGCCACAGAGATCATACACTCTGATCCTTTTTGTAGGGAGCATCTAGACCAGGCCAAGCTCCAGGGACCAAAAGAAGCACAGTGGTTGACTCGCAGGGGCTGGGGACAGGGGAACTGGGAGGGACTGGTACTGAAGGGCTTTTCCTTCCCTCCAGAGTGACAGAAGCATCCTGGAATTAGATAAGGGTGGGTTGTAAGACCTTGTGACTTACTGAGAGCGAGGAATCTGAGCCTCCTGAGGTCCTCCCTTCACAGCCCTTCAGGGCAGCACCCAGCACAGCATGGCTGCTCTTCTGACTGCTGATCACGGCTCGAGGTCCAGGCATGCAGCACTGAGCAAGAGCTCCACCATCGCTGTGCAGGGCTGTCCGCTCCTCAGAGGCGTGCACGGAGTCTGTTTAGTGAGTCCCAAGCAGAGCACTCTGTGTCTGCCTGGGGGGACAGACTGGCCAAGGACGAGGGGTGCACAGGACGTCAGAGGTGAGCACAGTGCAAAGTCTGGATGCCAGAAAGCTGTCTGCAATCGCTGGTAAGATGCGTCATTCATGGATTTTGGAAGACCTGGCTCATCACTCCAGAGCCCCATCCTATAGACCTGCAGAAGCAACATGTGAGCCAGAACTTGCCACCTCTTGGCTCCACAGGACGTCCTGGGCCACCTTAAGTGAGTTTTACTCTTGTGTAACAGAGCCTATTTGAATCGAAATTTAACCTTGTTTTCATTTAAGCCTTTTCCCAGACCAGCTCTCTGCAGATATTTTGGTCTTTAGGTTAACGCCGTGGCATCTTGTAGTCATTTCCGTGATTCTCCCTGTTACTTTCTGGTGAATGCCCAGGTCTACTTGGGGTTCTCTGTTTTGAGTTCCCTGCACCAACACTGCCCAGTACCATGGCCACCAGCCAGGTGTGACCTCCAGACACTTAACTTCGGTGTCACACTCCGGATTGGAAGACCCCTGAGTGTGACGTGCGTGCCACATTTCAGACCCTTCCAGTCATGTTTTAAAGTTTGGTTTCATGTTAAATGATACTACTGAGGGTATGTGGGTTCAATAAAACTTATTAAAACTCATTTCGCCTGCACCTACTGCTTTTTCAACATGGCCAGTAGAGGATTTCAGATGCACACTGGCTTGCATGCCGTTTCTGTTGCACGGCGCTGCTCGGAGGTGTGCTTCTCGAGAAACCAGCTTACTGCACACATAGGGAGGAGCCCCGGGCCTGCAAGGCTCGCCACCCCTCAGGTTGTAATGTGGCTGAGGCCAGCGGGAGCATCCTTCAGTGTGGATGCAGCACATGCCCGTGGCCTTAGTTAGCAAGGTGGCCTGCTCTTGTCACTTCACTGTCCGCACGGGTCATCCAGTGAGCCTGGAAGGAGTCGAGCCAAGATCCAAGTCGCCGTCGTGGCGGTACGCCAGCCTTTCCCGGTGTGGGCTCATCCACCAGCTTAGCAGGCCGTGCCCGCGGCCCGGAAGGCAGCCGAGCTGGGTCACCTCCCGGGTCTCGCTGGCCCTGGGAAGAGCAGCACTGCCGGCCAACAGCCCATTGCAGCGACTTCGGGTCAGCAACTCACCGCGGCGTGCACCGGACAACCGCCGGCCGGGACCCAGTCAGCAGCGGGATGCAGCCCCCTCGCCGCGTCAGTGTGCCGGGTCCTGAGCTAGGAAGACTCGGCCGGAAGGGCCGCGCTTTCGGACGAGCGAGCCGCCGCCGCCGCACTCGGGTAGGTGCAGCTGTGTCGGCCCGACGTCGCCTGCACCCCGCATGCTCTCCTGGGACTCACGGGCCAGGCTTTGCGGCCGCAGCCGGGCACGAGACCCACAAAACACCGCGCTTTCGAAGCCCAGAGGCGGCTCGGGCGCGGTGCGCGGCCCCAGGTTTCGAGCAGCCCCGCGCGAGCCCTCACGCAGCTCCTTGGGTGCTGCTGCCTCCTGCTGGCCGGAATGACGCACTGCACAAACCCGCCCGGAGGGAAAACGAATGCGCTTCTCGGCTAAATTAACCCAGGACTCTGTTTAAGGGCGGGAAATCTCTTTTAAATGTATCTGCAGCCTAGATTGAAAACCACCGCGCTAGGTGATGCGAAGGAGGAAGTGCCACCGCAACCAGGCCGCAAATCCCAGAGTGCTTTCCGCCGACCCCGGCGCGGCCGGGCGCGGTCTCAGCTTCGTTCACGCCTTCGCGGGGTCAGGCGCCTCTCCGGGCCCCAGGGTGTTCCTAACCCGTTCTTGCAGGACCTGCTCTTTCCGGCTCTGGCTCCCCCGGATCCCGTCGTGCTCCTGCCCTTTCCCGCTGGACCGTGAGCGGCCTGGGCGTGCTGTCGGCCGGCTTCCGGCGGTGAGATCCAAATCGCAGCGGCTCCGAGCGTCCGCACCCCTGCGGCCGGCGCTCCCAGGCCCTGGCTCCAGGACCGCGCCGGCCCGTGGACAGGCGTCCGCACTGCTGCCTCCGCGGCCTAGAGACAGAGGCCGCGCCTGCCAATCCTTGAGTAGTAGTTCTTTACATCCCTTGCGTTTGAAAATAGGCTCGGTATTACTAAAGGAACCCTTTAAGGATGATTGAATAAAAGGTTTGCAGCCTAACGATAAACGTCTCGGGTGTAAGTGCGGCAGACAGAGCGGGTCCAGTGGCATGTGGCTCTAGAATGAAATGATACACTCTGTATGCGGGAGAGGGCATGGGATTGTCATAGGGAGACTATTCCGAACAGAAGAAAAGAAAATGAAACAGTAAAAGAAGATACAGGTCTCTAAGATGGGGTCACAGGGAGTTTCAGAGGGGAGAGAGAACACCCAGGTCACGGAGGGCCTTGAAGACTCACTGAGCAGGGTGGCAGGATATGCTGCCCAGGCGAGAGCTGAGGTAGTGTGAAGGGCTGTGGAGCACAGACAGCGGGTCCCCAGAGGTCCAGCTGTGTCCCACGTCGCCATGAGTGCTATTGGGCTCTTGAGCGCTGACCCTGGGGTTTGGACATGTACAGAACGTGACCTGGTTGGGCAGAGTCCCTGCAGCCTCGGCAGAGAGCTGGGCTCGAGGAGAGCATGGGACCTGGCAGAACAGGCACGGAGAGGGGTGAGGCTTCCCATACTGCAGGGCAGCCGACCTCAGGGCTGGGCCCTCCCTGGGTGTGCAGCCATGATGAAAAGGCCACACAATGCTAGGAGGGGTGGCACATGCTTGCAATCCCAGCTACTCAGCAGGCTGAGGCAGGAGGACTGTAAGCTCGAGGCCAGCCCAGGCAACTTAGCGAGATGTTGTCCAAAATAAAAATCTTACGAAAGAGCTGGGGGTATGGCTTGGTTAGAGTGCCTGCCGAGCTTACGCCAGACTTTGGATTCCATCCCCAGTGCCACACACACACACACACACACACACGCACACACGCACACACACGCACACCCCACAGGGGATTCTAAAGGCAAGCTGCCTTAGCCCTGGAACACGTCAGTAGCTTTGGAGGGGCCCCTGCCTGACCCCGCCTCAGATTTGGTGTCGAGGGAGCAGTGTTCTCCTTGTGACACTAGAACAGTGGTCTCCAAACTTGAGTGTGCCCTGGAATCCCCTGGATTTGGAGGCTTTGCCAAAGCACAGATGCCCCTTCCTGGGTCAGAGTAAACAGGCTAGGGGGAGGAAATCCCAGATGTGCATTTCCATCAAGTTCCCGGGGAGGAAGATGCTGCCAGTCCAGAGACCCTCCTTGGAAAGCCGTGCACGAGAGCCCCCCTGGGAGGAAGACGTGATCCAAGTGTAGGGCTGTTGTGGTCTGGATCTTAGATGTCCCCTGAGGCCCAGTGTCACGGGTTTCATTCCCAGACTGTGGTGCCACTGGGAGGTGCTGGAACCTTTGGGAGGCCTAGTGGAGGAAAGGGAGCTCACTGAGGGTGTGGCCTTGAAGGGGACATAAGGACCCTGCCCCTCCCCTCTGTCCTCGATGCCTGCATCTCTCATCCCCCACCATGATGTGCTGCCCCGCCACAGGCCCAGGAAACAGAGCCAAGCAGCCATGGAAAAAGCCTCTGAAACCGTGAGCTGAAAGAAATCATCGCTCTTTCAAGTTGCTTTTCTCAGGTGTTTTGTCACAGTGGTGGAAAGGTGGCTAAATTCAGGGACCCACGCTTATGTTACTCATCAGAATGCCTTGCACCTAGTAAGATGCCTGGAACATAAAAGGCCTTCCAGAAATCTATGGCTAGGACTTGCTCATAAACAACTGCAGCACCAGCTAGCATGTGGTGTAGACAGCTCAGTGTTACATGTGTTCTCAGAAGACAGAAAGTGTGCTTGTCATCAGATGAAAAAGCATGAAAGGAAATATAAGCCTTATTTCATTTGGACATCTTAATTTCATAGAATTTACAGATGGAGGTCAAGGCTAATCCTCACCTCCATCTTTCCTCTCCTTCTTCCAAGAAGTCAGACTGCCCTGCGCTTCATGTGATTCTGTCGCATCCTGGTCTTTATACATTTACTGTAGATGTACGTCTACAGTGAGTAAGTAGCAGAATGTTTTTAAATGTTATGAATGACATGATGTAATGCATTTCATGATGTGCTTGTTCTCTTCACTTAAAATTATGCTTTTTTATTGTGGTAAAGTATTTGTAACATGAAAATTGTCATTTTAACCATGTTAAGTACATAATTCAGTGGCATCAACACATTCAGTGTTGTACAACCATTGCCACTGTCCAACTCCAGAACTACTGTCTCATCTTCCCAAAATGAAACCCTAAACTCATTAAACAACTTCCTTAATATTGCTTTGATATTTCGTCACACTGATACATTAGCGTTGCTTTATCACTAGAACTGCTATATGGAGCTCCATGTTATGAAGCTGCAACTTTTATTTTTCCTCTCCCTTTTCTGGTGCAAATTCATTTGCAGTTTTGAGCTGTTATGGACTTGTGTCTCTTCGTACTCACAGCCTGAGACTCATGGGTAGGTGGAGGATGCATGCGTGTTCACCGTCACAGGTGGCTTCGCTGCTCACACTCCTGCTGTCAGCCCAGGCCGGCCCCAAGCTCCCGTGTTCCCAGTGACATTGGGCAGGACTCACGGGATTTACTGTTTGCAAGGTGGTGGCTATGAAATGACACCTCATTTTAACCTGAATTCTCCTGATTCTGGTGCAGCTGAGCCTCCTTCCATGCATTCATCAGTGACTCTGATGCCCTTGCGTGCGACTTACTGCTCAGATCTCAGCTGTTTTTTCTGCTGGATTGTTTGCTCATTGATCAGTAGGAGTTCTTTACATATTCTGGATGAGTGTTCCTTTGTTGATTAAATGCAATGCAAATATCTACTCCTACTCTGTAGCTTGTCTTTTTATCTGGTCTGAGTATCTTCTTATCACAGAGGAATTTTTAAAGTTTTACTATAGTCGAATTTATCAATATTTCCCTTTTTGATTTGTGCTTTTTGGTTCTAAACAATCCTTCTTACACTGAGGTCAGAACCTCATATTTTAGAAGTGCAAAAGTGTGTGTCTTTATAAAACCCCTAATTGCCTGCTTAGTAGAACAATTATATTGCCTTGATCCTGCATGTGTGGGAAATATTAAATATATACATTTTAAGTGTACCACTTTCTCATTTTTTAGTTGACACATCTATTCATATTTGTGGGTACAGTGTAATAACTTGATCCATGTATACATATAATCATCAAATTGGGTAATTAGCATGTCTTTATGTTGAGAAACTTCAAGCTCTTCTCTTCAAGTTATTTTGAGATAGACAATAAATTATTGTAAACTAGAGTCACTGTACTCTGTTATAGAATGTTAGAGCTTATTCCTTTTACCTAATGGTATTTTGGGGGGGGACTGGGAACTGAACTCAGGACCTTGAGCTTGCCAGGCAGGCGTGGCACCACTGAGCTACATCCCCAGCCCCCTAATTGTATTTCTTTTTTTGGTACTGTTTTTTTTTTTGGTACCGGGGATCGAACTCGGGACCTTGTGCTTGTGAGGCAGGCGCCGGAACCACTGAGCTAAATCCCCGGCCCCCCTAATTGTATTTCGATGCCCATCGTAGGACCTCTCTCTATTCTTCCCTAAGCTGCATCAGAGGGCTGGGAGGGAGCATGAAAGCAGAGACATTGGTTAGGAGACGCTTTCGTCTTTCAGGCGAATGCAATGTGAATTAAGGTAGAGCTGAGGGAAAACGATAAAAATGGGTGGATTGGAGAAACATTCGGAACAGGAGAATCAACAGGAAGGTTGACTGAGCTGAGGAAATCACACCAAAAAACTGTCCTGCCTGCACCTTCCCATCACAGACTCTCCAGCCCGAAGAGTTCTTAATTCCGGTCCAGGACAGCCCTCCATCTGTCGCTTGGATCCCTCTGCCAAACGCCGAGATGGAAACGTTCTGCCTCTCTGTCTCTGAAGAAAGCAGACTGCCATGAGGAGGGCTGTGTGCGCGAAAGTCCAGCCACAGGGGAAGCCTCAACGACACCCAAACCCAGAGTCCCATGCCACGCACGGGCGCTCTGCGGGTGTGGAATAAAACCGGACCTGCTTCCTCACTCTTTACGATTGGCGCCACCTTGCACCCTACCTGTAAAACGACCGCTCTGGAGCCCAGGAGGCAGGTCTAGTGCTGCACTGTCTCCAGCACACTGCTGACGCACAGTGTCAGCCGAGGACAGGAACAGATGGGGAGATGGACTCAGTCTGTAATTGTTTTCCCAAGTGGGCTCTGATGAGAGGAGATAATCGAAGCAGATGATTTGTCTTGGGGCAAAGGGTAAAATCCGCCGTAGATTGGACACTGCAGACAACACTGTGAATATAAAAAAGCGGCACCCTTGTTTGGAGAGCAGTGATCTACAGTTGACTACGGACTTAATTCCGGAGCCAATTTTTATTAAACAATTTTGCCGAGCAGGCAACAGAACAGACAGCCTGAAACATCATCCACAGCTGCACGTCCTCTCAGTCTACCTTCTCTGATCCCCTCTCCCATGCTTCCCCCCTCTTTCTCTCCCCCACCAAATACTATGGAGGAGCCATCATCACTCATGCCAAAGTGATCACACAGGGACGTCTCCCAGGCACGGGAGCAAAGGAGAGCCGATGATACGTAATTCAGAAACACGGGAAGGAAAAACACCCGGACCGACATGTTGCAGAAGCCCCACCGGACAAGGCCTGGGAAAGAGTGGTTGGACGGGATGGGTGGGGTATCTAGACACCTAGACACCGAGAGCAGCTGCCGGGGTTTGGGAGTGATTTGTGTCCGTGAGGGTCCTCGGTGAGGGGTGCAGTCCCCATGCTGGAGCAATTGGAAGCCTGTGGCTGAAGAGGGGCAGCCCCGTGGGCCGATGGGAGCATGCCCTCAAAAGCGACTGTGGAGCTCGGTTTCTCTGCTCCTGGCTCAAATGTAATCACTTACCTGTCCCTCCTCATGCTCCTGCTACCTACACCATAAAGCTATAAAGTGAGGGCTGTTTGTGAGGAAGAGGACGCCCTCTGAGAGCCTATGTTATGCCACTGAGTTTGAGCCCCCCCAACTGTGAGATAAATAAACCTCTTTTCTTCATGTCTCATTTCATTATCGGGACACAAAGCAACTTTCC